CCCTGGTCCAAACTCCTTCCCACTTGTCTGCCTCAGGACCCCAGTTCTGGGCCCCCTGCCTCTCGATCATCGGGCAGAGGCAGGGGGCCATGGACGCAGCCCTCTCGCCATGAGCAGTGTGCCCCCCACGCAGGGCAGGGTTCAGGGGTCCAACTTTACCCCACATCACTACAAGCCCTTCAGTTCACATGCACACTATCAACAGGTCAGTGTCCTGGGATTTTCCAAGCGACACCTATGTCGGTTTTTGTGCTAATATCTATAGAAAAACTCAGCAATACCATGTAACAAGTTCATTTTTCTCCCGGCCTCAGGTGATGCGTTCGCTGCATAAGCTTCAGGAGAGTGGGTTTTATTGGGGGGCTGTTGGTGGTCGAGAAGCCAGCACCCTGCTGTGCCCCGAACCACCCGGCACTTTCCTGATCCGGGACTCCTCAGATCACCACCACTTCTTCACACTGTCCGTTCAGACGCCTCGAGGAACCAAGAACCTGCGAATACACAGTGAGGAAAGTGGGTTCTTCTTACAGCCCGACCCCCAAAGCACCCAAGTGCCCCCGCAGTTTGATTGTGTGCTTAAACTTATAGCACACTACATGGGGAAAGGGCTTGAAACTGTGAGAAACAAAGAAGGAGCATGTGGGGGGAATTCAGGACAGCCTGAAATGAAAGGGCGCAGCGTTTATCTGATACACACAGGTGGAGAGAGGATCCCTCTGGAGTTGCTGAGACCCCTGTCTACTTCTCTCTCGTCCTTGCAGCACATGTGCAGGAGGACCTTGAATAACCAAGGCCTGGGGTCAGAGCGAGCGCAGCAGCTCCCGCATACACTTCGAGACTTCCTGGACGAGTACGATGCTCCTATATGACTGACTGGAACTGCACAGGTTTCTCTACACGGACCAGCAGCCTAGAGGACGGCACGGGTCATGTCTCTGTGAAGACATGTCCATCTGTCCGACCAGATTTAGCCTTAGATGGTAAATGGTTCGTTTTTCAAAGCAGCCAGAATTGTCTGAGCCCAGACCTGATATAAACTAACCAGGGGTCTGGGATCACGAGTCCCAACTGGGTAACCGGTGATTACCTCACCCGTCCTGCCTCACAAAAACTGACCGCTTATGTGAGTGGCAAAGGTATAAGGTCAGTGTGTCGTATAATTGCCTCAGACGCAGAGCAGAGCCTCGCAGAAGATTAACCTGATTGGTCAATATTAACAATTACGGTGAAGGCACGATCAATCCACCACCGCCAATCCCTGTGGGTTCACAGAGAAATGTCTCCACTCCCCTTGTCCACCTGACATTTGCAACCATTCAGAACACTGCACACAGAGAAAGGAGGCACAGAGTTGAAGGAGGACAGAGAAAAGGCAAAGTTCAAACAACGACCTCAAACCAGAGAACTAACAGCATTTGTTAGTCTGAGTGTGTGCGTGTGTTCCTGTGTGTTGTGGTGGTGCGCACACACACACATTTCCATTACTGCTTCCCGCAAATGTTGCCTCATTGAAGGGAGTTGAGCGGTCATGCGTGCCAGCTCTACACGCACACACATGCACACACAGAGGTTTTGTAAGTTGAAGAACAAAAGACGAAAAACCCATTACAAATCATCTCCTTTTCACTCTTTGTCTCTTCTCCATCCTCTGTGCGTTTTTGGTTCTTTTTTTTTTTTTTCTTTTTTTTTTTTCAGCATTGCTTTTGACAGTGACAGAAAACAGACTTCTGTTGCTGAGACAAAAGCTTGTTACTGAGACAAAAGCCTCGGCTCAGGACCAAAAGAAACATCACAACTTATTTTTATCCAGGCTGGCTGGAAATATGTCAACGACACTGTGAAGCTCCTCTGGGAGTGACAACAATGACAAGTCTGGAGGCTGGAGTAGAGCGAGGAGCAGAAGTCACAAAGAGATGGAGAGACAGAGTGAGACCAAGGGAGTTAGGAGAAGGAAACTGAAGAGGACAGAGAAAACGGCCGGGGAGCTGGGAAGAGGGAGGAGACATACTGGTGTACAGCTAAACAAAAACATTGACTAGATTGATGTCCCAAACCTGGAAAGGAGGAAATCCTCAACAGGACACTGTTCCTATAAATATTAAACCAAGTTTGCCAAGAGGATCCATTTAACAAAAACAAAAATTCAAAAGAGTCTTAATTCTCTTGTTTTGACGCCTATTATAGTCTTTTCTTTACATTTTTTTTATTCATCAGTGTGTAGTAGTGTGTCTGCTCTCTTCCTCTTGGATCTCTGAACTTATCATGAGTTAGAGAGGATGCTACGTCTTTAAATCCCTGTCATTTAAAAGTGTCTCTCCCGTCCATCATTACCTCTGAAGCAGGAGTGGGTCGTTGGGTTTGTTCTTTCTGAATGTCAAGTGAACACAGGACTAACTAAAGAAAAAAAAGCCTTTTGTAAATCAGATTATGAGACACCGATTTGATGGAAATATTTTTTTTTATGGTTGACCAGTGCTTATACTTACCTGTGATCCATATTGGAAGTGGTAGCTTTTTCACTGTGGCCACTTGAGACAAAAGCGCTGCAGGAAACCATAGTGATGCAGGATTCTGCTCAGATCTGTGTCTTATTTTCTTCCATCTACTCCCAAATATGTACATGTGTCACGGAAGTGCATCCACACGTGTATGCGAGTCATTTGTCTTTTATAAAGACTGTCTAGCAAAAAGGCTGGCCACTAGTCTGGCAGAATTCAAGCTGTACTTATCTGAAATGACAAAGCATTACAAAAAAAGAAAAATAAATGAAAAGGAACGTTGCACATATTTATATTTCTAAAATATTTCAATAATTTATATTAAAGAGCACTATTTTTACAAAAGACAATGCATTTGCACTGTGTGTTGCTTTGGTTTTTGCTTCTTGGCCACCTTTTCTGTTTTTCTCTCTTACTTCACTGAGTCAATATTGACTGGACAAACTGGACGAACTTACCGTAACGTATTGTGAGGTCGTCTGTATTCCAGAAATGCCTGCCCTCAACATGAGTCTTTATTGTCGATTGGGTTTTCAAGTTAAACAAAGCCCTGTTTATTTGGCCAGCAGGGCCTTCCACAGACTGTGAGCCACACAAGGAGGACACGCATTCAACACAAGGAGGGGTAAAAGGACTGCAACCATTTCTTATTTTCCCTGCTAGAGCATTATGGGTACATTCCATAGGCTTCAGAAACAGTATTGCTGGGGAGGGGAGGGGAGGGGGGTGCAGGTCTACACACAGCCTGGTAACAAAGACATTCTCAGAAGCGCACAATCAAGTCAACACCGTCATGCACATACACACGTATACAGAACATATTGGACACACTCTTTGACACAGCAGCAACTGTGTGGAAAGCTCTCCTTGGGCCGGACCTAACTGGAAAGGAATGCACTGGGGCTTTATACATCCTGCCTGAGGGTTTGAGTGGGGATGGTGTCCTCTGGAGAAAGAGAGGGAGAGTGTGTGTGTGTGTGTGAGAGAGAGAGAGAGAGAGAGGTCAAATAGGTGAAAGGGTCCATGTGGAGTGGATTTATGACACTGTGGTTGAAGTGTGCTGCCAGTGTACACTATGTATGTGTAAGAGCTTTGGTCTAGCTCCAGTGCTTTTGGTAAAACAAGGCTGGAGGTGACTTTCATTATTCTCTCTCTCTCTCTCTCTCTCTCTCTCTCTCTCACACACACACACACACACACACATATACACAAACAGCTCTCGTTCCCTGCATACCTTGTGTTCTGTCTGAGGCTGGCTTCCAGGAAAGAGGCACTTTAATTGGGTTGAGTTTTTACGGCTAGCCTCGTGTCGGTGTGTGTATGAGAAAGAGCGCTCGAGGTGTCTGTGTGTAATGGGGATCTCCATCTGAAGAAAGCATTTAAAAAGATCACTGAGCGAGGGACTTTTCCCAAACATTACTGAACGTGCTAGTTTGAAGGTTAACGTTGTTTTATCGCACTGCATGCAGAAACAAAACAATTTAAATAAAAAATTGAGGGAAGATCCACTTATCAATGACACAGTTCATGAAGATATAGGCAAATATTCTCTGGCATTACCGTCTCAGGCCTGGGCAGCACACACACACACACACACACACACACACACACACATGTGCTTATGCGGACATTTGACAGAGTGTCTCGAGGAACAGGCAGTCAGGTTGAGAGAACAGTGTTTAATAACTGTTTTTACATCTTTGGGCCCAGGTAATTACTATGCTGTTCAAAAACGCAGGCCCTCAGCGTCCTATTGTGCAATGACACTAACAGGAAAAAATGTGCACTGTTTTTATGTGTTTGTGTGTATGTGTGAATGTGGGTGGGTTACATTACAGATTACGGGCACTTCTAGACAAAAAAAATGACATGACGTGCTTCGGGAGACAAACAAAAACCGAGTGGGTATGCTTTCCCAAAACCTAACCAGAATAATCCAGTTCCACACAGATGCACACATTGTCAAAATAAGCCACCTCAGCTCCCAGTGACTCACTCTATGTTCCCCATAGTTGCTTGGTGAGTGAGGCTGGAATATTTTGCTGTATCCTTCCCTCGCTCCTCTACTGAATCTCACACACACATAGAAAGTCTTTCCACCGTGATTCATTTTTCGGGTAATGACTTGCTGCGTCCAGCTCGACACTTGTCAACAGTGTCCCGTCCAAGCACAACAACATCCAGCTTTCAAACAACTGAGCTGGAGCTGAAGAGCGGGGTGGAGGCATGGAGAGGGGGGATTCATTTCCCCAACAATCAAAACATTCACACCAAAGTCTGGGTAACGCCCCTGATAGCTTTAGGTTTGAGCTTTAATGCAGCACTGTGAAAACGAGGTAGGAGAGAGGGGGCTGGTTTGAATGATAATGTTTTTGTAGTATAATTACAATAAAAATCTCAGCCTTTCAGTGTTTCATATTTGAGCTGCTGCCAATGTCAACTGAGTGGAGCATGGAAGGTGGAAAGAATATTAAAAGGTTAGAATATAGCAGTCCTCAGTGGTCTTCCAGGAAGGGCCTCCGGTTTGCTGATTATTCCTTCCAGGAAGGCTTTTTGTTGGCTGATCGGCAGTTAGAGGAGGAAAGACGTTTGGTTGGCCCATCAGTGTGAGTATTGTCACAGCCGCTTCTGATAAAGCCAGACCAGCTTCCAGGAAACCAGAGATTTACCCTCCAGCATTCCATCATTCTTTCACCATCAAGGCGCACACACACAAACACACAGAGGGGGGCTTAAGGGGTATAACAGGGACATGGATCAATAAAAACCATATGGAAAGCATACAGATAGTCCAAGGCACTCATAACATGTGTGTGTGTGTGTGATGTGTGCACAGGCCTACGAAGACCAGTACAATCTTGACCTGTGCTCACTGGCCAAAAACTGTGACAAAAAACCCACAATATAATTCTTGACTATTTATTTACTCCACCCAAAAAAACTTACTGTGACTAACTTTATTTTCGTTGAAATCTTTTCTGCAGTGTTTTTCGCATAGCACCTGGACAGTCGGATAAATGGGTGTGCATTTCCGAAACTGGCTGGAGGAACAAGAAAAAGTAGAAGTAAGTGTCCTCAGCATTACAAAACAGGTTGTTCAGCAGACTTCCCTCACGTGGCTCCAAAATTTCAGATTCCAGCCTTCGGGGGCCGTTAAACGAGTATGCAGAACATTCTCTGCATTGCATGCCTGACCTCACGCTTTATCAGTAGGTGGCGGAAGTGGGCTATAAGATTACTTGTCATTAAATCAACACATGTGATTTAATGAAACAGCCTGAAAAACAAAACCCATTAATCACGAGCTTGATCCATGACCATGTGACTAATGTTTGTGTTAAAGTTGTTGTGAAAAAAAGCCTTGAGTTACAGGAATAGTTAAAAAAAAGTGTATTCCATCAACTGTGTTTGTAGCACCACCTGCAGGGCAGATAGAGGAGCCACAAATTCTTTTTTTTAACACATACATAGTAAAGAAAAAACCAAATCAGATGGTTGCTAAATTGAGCTTTTAGACTCAGTTACACTAGGGCCAACCAGAACGTCTGTTTCTGCTGCATCTGCTCCGCACTCACATCTGCACTAGTGTGTAGCAGCAGAGAAGCTCAGGTGCCAAGTGACTTACAGTAACAGCATGGACTCGGATCAAACTCTCCAACACTCTCAGGTGTCACTGTGTCCTCTCCGTCTGCAAACACGGCTGCGTAATATGTGAACTTGACACTGTAGCAGACACGCACGGGTGTGAGCGCTCACACATGCACATGTGGTGAATAAGGAGTTTTTGGTCGTGGATAAATGACGACGCCCATGATTTATGCCCACAGTGGGAGAGAAACACTGTGTCAGGATAACTTGGTCATGCTTCATATATAAGTTTTTCCTTTTTGACGAAAACATTCCCATGTAACAACTACGATAAATGTACTATATCATTAGGATGGAAATAAGTGAAGGTCATTGGTTCTTTAACACTGTAAGTTAGGAGTTAGGACAATTCATGAATGAAATGAATTGAAATAGTTAGAAATGATCGCGTCATTGCAGTTATTGACATTAAGTAAAAATGAGATTAGATGCGTCGTGTGGTGTGATGTGACATAACGTGACTTGGCGTGCGTGGTTAGCATTGTAAGCAACGTGTGCAGATGGGCACAAAGAAGAATCTAGAAAACTAGAAGTTTAATAGATCACATGGCAAAAACAAAAACATGTCCAAATTGGTTGAATAGTTTGACAAAGTGTGACAGGATCTGAGGACTAAAGGACTAAGGACTAAATAAAAGGGTGGCTTTAGAAAGTCCAGACACGGCTGTGTTTTCATGACATCATTTACCTCAGGAGGATCTTAATGGACCTCTGTGTGAGCACCAACACAGAAAGACAAAAAAACTTCACTCCAACTTGTACTGCGACCAAACAGATTGGATATGTTGGCAAATAACACAAACGTGGCGTGTGTGTGTGCGTGTGTGTGTGTGTGTGTACAACAAGTACGTAAATAGAAGGTAGCAAGGAAACTGTGCAAGTGGCTGTCAGTCCATTACATAATCAAGATGTGAGTAATGTCTTTAGCAGCGTGCGTCCTTCAACACTTCTTTATTATTAACACATTTACAGCTGGAAAATCAGTGTCCGACTAAAACAGATGGACTTTACTCTGACTGTATGTCACCTTTGAAAGATATCTTTACTGCAACTTTAGGGTGAACTAAGTCGCTGAGTGTTGAGCTAAAAGAAAACAGAACTTGACTCTTAGTCAACTAGACTTTTACAAATACATTTCACATTACATTAACAACATATTTCAATACATATCCCGCGCGCACACACACACATAAACACAGGCACTCACCTCCCTCACTGTATTTTTTAACAATATGACATATTACGTTTCTTCCTACAAATAGAAAACAGGGGACCTTTGTGTGTGTGTGTGTGTGTGTGTGTAAGCACAGCAAGCATTGAACACCATCTGAATGCAAAAGCCAATCATCAAGCTGCATAGACACTGAGCCCCCCAAGTGCTGCTGGTTTATAGGGCCCTGCTTCAGAGAAGTCACATGACTTCCCAGAGAGGAGAGAGAGGAGAGCAGGAGGAGGGGGAGCATTGTGGGAAAGGAGGATGAAGAATAGGAGGAAGAGGAGGACAAGGAGTAAAAAGAGGGTCAAGAGGTGACAACATTGCCAGGGAATAGTCAGGAGTGGATTGAAGCTCTGGTAAATGAATGGAGTAGAGGGAGATTAAATGAGGGAGAGAGGGAGGCTGTAAGGGGGGGAGAGGGGGGCGATAGTGTTCTGGGAAGGGAATTTACACTGACTGGTCACGCTCTGTAATTACAGCTGAATG